ATAACTCCTTCCCAGAAACATATATTACTTTTAAAGCATAAAAATACCTTTTCCCTGTCTTGCATTATTCTTTTCCATGTACCATTTTCCTGATGTATTGAAGTGACATTCCATGGTTTTCGATGACTTGGAAGTTTATGACCCTTCTGTGGCAGATCAGACTAAACATAATTCGTTCATAACTACTTAGTGCTCAGGGAAATCAAGCCTGAACTTAAATAACTATGGTGTGACCTCTGTAGAGAATCATTTATAGTTTTAAAATTGCTATTGTGGAAATGCCAAGATGTGCCAAATGTTATAAACCAAACACCAGCAAGCAAACACCACAAGCTACTATTGTGTTTATTTTTGCCTTCCTTTTTGGGGAGTTCTCCATGATGCTATTTTTGTTTAAATGGATTCTGAGGTAATTTCCCAGCAGAGGAAAGCAGTGTTCCTTTTACATTTTATTATTAAATACTTCAGTAAGTAAAAAATTGTCCTTTATAAAGAAGCACCCCAGAAATGTAAATATTCCATTAACATACTGCAGTTTACCAGCGAAGACATGGGGTCCTTGTGAGCATAAAGGAACCATGCCACTATCAAGGCTAATGTAACCCATCTGCTGTTCATTTCAGCAAATTACTTTACAGAGGAAACCCTGACCAAACATTTAAGTTATCCAGATGAGAACTTTAAGCTTAGTGTTTCCTTGCTGTTCAGAATATGTGTGTGTCCACAGCACACTTAACCTTAAAATTTGCAATTTTTTTTACAGTGTCATTTCTGCATCTCGTTTGTTTCCTGAATTATGTCCAACACATTCAATTATAGGAAATGAAATGTTTCATGGTTGTAAAGTAATGGAATTATCAGTTTCCTCATTGTCATCTAACAACTATTTAAGGAGCCGTGTGTACTGGTCCAGGTACCAGGAATTGGCAATGAAAAATCGGAGGGAACAGGTTCTCGGCTTTCCCAGAGATAACAGCCTGAGTTGCACATGCAAAGGGCAACAACAGCCATCTTAGCAGAATGCTAAGTAAGAGTAGGCTGAGGGCAGGAAGTGGAAGAGACAAGGAAGGCTAGAATCTTGCGGGATGTTGGAAGCAAAGGACCTGAAGATCTAGAACAAAGCCAACTTTGAAGGCCTTGAAGAGCCCTCTGAGGATTTAGACTCCCTCCGGTACACAGTCATACCTGATTGTAAGCTGAAGCCTGACACTTGAGGTTTGTTATTGGGGCAGTGGCAGTAACAGGGAAAGTCAGCTGGACTCCTGATGGGGAGACTCCTCCAACTTCCAGATGAGAAACAACAAAGCCAGGCTGGGGCAGCAGTAAGAGATGGGCTTGACTAGCAGGGCCTTGGGGTACTGAAGCCACAGCATCTGGCAGCTGGAGAAAACAGAAACAAAGCAGCCAAGCAGGCAGTTCGGGTCTTTGACTAAGGGGGCACACCCATCAGGTTAAGTACCAGGAATGATCTTTGGAATCAGCAATGCCTTGTGCGGTGGTTTGAATAAGAATGGTCCTGGAGGCTCTTATGTTTGAGTGAGGGGTCCCGAGTGAGTGGAACTGTTTGGGAAGGATTAGTAATTGTGGTCTTGTTGGAGGAGGTGTGTCACTGGAGTGGGCTTTGAGGTTAAAAGCCCGTGCCATGCTCTGTCTTGCTTGCTGTCTCTCTCTGCCTCTTGCCTTTGAATCAGGATTTGAGCTCTCGGCTACTGCCTCAGCACCATGCCTGCTTGCCTGCTGCCGTGCGCCCCACCATAATTGGTCATGGGCTAACCTTCTGTAACTGTAAACAAGCCCTCAAACAAATGCTTTCTTCTATAAATTGCTTTGATCATGGTGTTTCTTCATAGCAATAGCAAAGTAGCTAAGACAGAGTACAAACTGCAGGAGATTGACCGTCAATTTGGCTCTGACACCCAGACAGGTGGACCTGGAGGACCTTCAGGTGTGTCTAAGATGTGGTTGGAAATGTGAGTTAGGAGAGAAGATAGGATTGGAGACAGGAGAGTTACCACTTATGTAGCGATCATTCAGTAATGTTTTAAAGATTCATGCAAAAGACCACATTATCTGGAAATTGTGTTGAAGTAATTGATAAGTCTTCAGCTTTAAAGACTTACAGGAAAAGATTAGGGTTTTAAATTCTATCACTCAGTCTTAGTGGGAAGTGTTGTGCCTCCTATTTTAGATGTGTTGACAGAAATGATGGACATTGGTCCAGTGATTAAAGCACTTTGTGAAAGAAAGATGACCCATGCAAATCCCAGGTGGATGTGGCAGCCTGCCTGAGATTTCAGACTCAGAAAGAGGACACAGGATGCAAGCTGGCTAACAAGACTAGTCATATCAGTGAGCTCTTGGTTTGATTGAGAACCCCTGCCTCAGTGAATAGAATGGGGGGACAGTGAATGAAGATTACCAACAACTTTGAGTTTTCCCATGTATGCACAAACACATGTAGCCCAAACTCAAAAACATACATATACACAGGCATGCATAACCCGAGTGCATAAACACATGAAGAAAAGAAAAAGAAAACAAAAATCAACGGGAAATGCCTTTATAGCTCATAACAAGAATGAATTTCTTTTTAAATGATGAAGTAGGATGGAGAATTCAGAAACAGATTGAGTGATCGGCCCATAACAAGACATTTGCATCATTTGGAAGAGCCAGAGGGCAGGGGGAAGGACCATGAGTTGTCATTTTCAGGGCAAGGCACAGCTATTGTAATTACAAACTCACAGCAGCACTGACAGCCAAGCATGGATGAGGAGAGGCCCAGGGTGCCTTAACCATCTATTTGCTGCCACAGATAAACCCATTAAGCTGCAATAGACATAAGCTGCAATAGACACTTCCAATTCAATGGTTACATGACAGCCCTGGCTAAATTAAATAGGTAACAAAACTAAGTTATGAACACAGGAAAAGTTCTGGTAGGAATGAGGGAGTGGGAGTCTGTAATAGGGATGGGAAAGAAATAAGAGAGGGTGTTGGAGAAAGTAATTAGAATATATATATATATATATATATATATATATATATATATATGAGAGAGAGAGAGAGAGTGTGTGTGTGTGTGTGTGTGTATGACATCATCTCACAACAAAATTAATTCCTTTAAATGGTGAAGCTGGGAAGTTGTTAAGACAAACCAGCAGATAAGGGTGCTGGCCACTAAGCCTGATGGTGAGTTTGAGCCCTAAGATTCACATAATAGAAAGATAGAATGGACTCCTGAGGTATGGAGAGATGGCTTAGCAGTTGCAAGCACTTGTTGTTCTTGTAGAGGACCCAGGTCCAATTCCTAGCACGCAAATGGTAGCTCATAACCATTGATAACTCCAGGCCCAGGAGATCTAATCTCTTCTCCTGACCTCAGGCACCAGCCATTGTACATGGTGCATATACACATATGCCAGCAAAACACTCATACACACACAATAAGATAATCTGAAAAAAAAAAAATGACTCCTGAAAGTTGTCCTCTAACTTTTACATGTATTGTGGATTGTGAACACTTGCTCTCGAGCATGTATCACACACACACACACACACACAAATAAATGGTGTGTGTGTGTGTGTGTGTGTGTGATTTGAGACAGGGTTTCTCTATATAACAGGCCTAGCTGTTCTGGAATTCACTTTGTAAACCAGGCTGGCCTCTCAAACTCAGAGATCTGTCTGCCTCTGCCTCCCAAGTGTTGGGATTAAAGTCGTGCGCCGCCACCACCATTCAGAAAATGTAATAATTTACAAAAATATTTAAGCAATCCATTTCAATGGCTGTCACAACTTCAGTCAGTATTAATCTTCTTTCTTTTGTTTCTAAGGAATACTACTTAAACTGTGTTTACACCTGTTTATTGTGTGCGGGTACACATGTACAAGGGCTCTGGTGTGGAGGACAGAGGACTTTAAGGTGTCAACTCTTTCCTTTCACTGTGTTGGTCCTGGAAATAAAATTCGGGTTGCCAGGCTTGGCAGCACGTGTCTTTACCTACGGAGATATGTATTTTTATAGAGTTTTGAACACAATAGAAAAATAAAATAGAAAGGAATCTATTTCTACCTTATTGGTCTTGATAGGTTAGTAGAAGCCCAGGCATTTTGATGGATAAGATGAACAAGGCCACACAGTGTTAAATACCTTGGGCTTCCAGAGCAAAGCCCTTTAAGAAGAACAAAATGTCATTATTAATGAACATCATTTACAGTTGTCACTAGTTATGGAAGGAGTCATTCACCATGGGAGCCTAGTGTGAGGAGTCAGTGTGGAGAGCACAACTATGAAGGCCCCTGACAACAATACCTTTGCTCCTAAAGAGAAGGTAAATTGCACTCTAATTGATTGACAAGACAAGGGTCTGGAAGACGGTGAGCCACTCTACTTCCATTGCATCTTCATAGAGTCCTGTCTCACTGAACACTTTTGTTTGTGCCTTTATTTCACAAAGTAGGTCAAAGTTTATTTCTAGTCCAACTGCTGAGGTTCACTCTTGTGCCTCACTCTTAGAAGACATACCTCAATTGGGAAACACACGATGATGCAATCAATTAGAATCTCGATACTGAACAAAAAAGCTACACACAGCACAGACCTGACAATTTTCTTTTAAACTTTCTGCTCTTTTGAAGTCTTAAGCACTAACAGCTAATTGTAATTTACAGTCTGAGCAAAATGCAGAGAAGCAGGACTGCTGTAATCACATTCTTTAATAACATTTCATACTAAAATTTAAAGGAGATTGCCATCTATCAAATTAAACAATAGTTGAAGACCGTGTATCCTAAACACAAGATGTTGATGTAGGTTCAAATGCTGTTTTAGGAAGTTAACAATCAAAGAGTAAGTTGATGTTGCCTGAATCTTACTCTGAAAGGTGATGTTCCAGCTACAATGTAACTCTGTTAATAACACGAGGCAAGTGACTGGCAGTGTGTGTGTGTGTGTGTGTGCCTTTAAGATCACAGTTCAAAAGAGCCAAGTAATGTGATAACAGAGAAAGACAAACACAACCTTTATTCTCTTCCAAAATCCTAAAAACAAGGCCTGGAACTACGATTTAATCACAGGACTTTAAGCTCCATGGTCTCACATTAAAATTTATAACAAAAGACTCGATGTTCTACAAATGATAGCAAAACACAGTTACCTTCAATTATATAGTGAGAAAAAAAAAGAGGTGGTCAACCAAGAATTCATCATAAATAAAACTTTCTAAAAGTACATGCAGTGATCAGCATTTCATATTCAAAAATCACAGTATGTGATCTGACATTAAATTTTATCACATTCAGAAGTCAGAAAGCCAGCACACTGAAATTACTAAAGAATTTTCTGATATACATTAAAATGAGACAAGATTATTTTAAGTCACCTTTGACCTGGACAATCTTAGACAGACATGCTGTGCACCCAAGACAAGTATCAACTACAAAGAATGAGGGAATGAATGGAAATTATTCAGTACAACTCAATCTTTGACTGCCATAAAAATAAAACATACTTCATGACCATGTACTACTGCCTTTGAGGAATGAAAGTATACCTACCCATAACCTGAAAATATCTGCACTGAGGAGCTAGGACCAGAGACCCTGACAAATACCAAGAAACTGTTTTCTTCAGGGAGCCTAGAAGATGGTATAATGAAACATTTTATTTTTAAGTTCTTTTACATTGTTGTTCCATAAAAGGAGGACTTTAACATTTTAAAAAGTCCCTTTATTGTACCTGTATTCATATAGCTTTATACTGTGGGCAATCAAATAAAATCAGCTGAATGATTTTAACATTAAGGCAGAAACAATCCTGAGTCTACTTTGCCTAGAAAAATATAACTCTTGGCATTCTTTAAACAGGATCACTAGACATGGATTTCATTTGTGACTACATTAAAACTGTGTTTAAGATAGTTCTTTGTGAAAATGATATGAATGAATTAAGCATTAAGCATAAAAAGAAAGAAAGAAAGGAAGAAAGAAAGAAAGAAAGGAAGGAAGGAAGGAAGGAAGGAAGGAAGGAAGAAAGAAAGAAAGAAAGAAAGAAAGAAAGAAAGAAAGAAAGAAAGAAAAAAAGATGAGGAGTCAAAAGAGCCTGAGCAAAGAGGCAAGAGACACTCAGGGTCCCAGGAAAACAGCTTGCGGCTAAGATCATTTGTAACTCAGTTTCTAAGGTTTGGACACTCCCCCCTGAGCCACGAGAACTGGCCTTGCATTTTCAAGTTTTTACAGTGTCTTGTGAAGTTTGCTTTTACATTCAGTTACGAGTTGGCACACTCCTGCCCTGCAGATCTGCATGCTAGTTTCCTAGAGTTAGCAATTATTCTCATTCATTCACAGAATGGAAGCTTCCTATGTGTTAAGACCAAACCGGAGTACTGTGATTGTCACTGTTCACGGTAACAGATTATTACTGGAAAAACCCGAGTGCTTCCTGGCTCAAGACTCCCAAATTCAAGGGCACAGAGGCTCTTCAGGAAAGGCAGACTCTTCAGTGAAGGCTGCCCACCCTGGCGTTCTTGGGTCAGAACCTGAGAGGCTCAATGCCTCTTCATCGACTTATATTTTAACAAATATGTTTCCCCACTCCTCCAAGTTTCTGTAGGCCATCAGTGGGTAACACTCTTCATCCCAGCCCTTTAGTAACCTACACATCCCTCCCAGAAATACATGTTACTGAAGGAACAGAATCTTAGACCAGAATTAGGATCCAACTGCTGGCTGCTGGTCCTAACTAGTTCCAGTCCAGGAATCTCCTGTGTCCTTTGCTCTGGAATGCTATAGACCTGACACGTCAACTCAGTAAGCCATGAGGGAGATGGGGAGAAATCATAAGATCTGGCACTCTACAGTTCAAATCCCAGCAGTGTCTTATCTCTAAGAGGAAGCGGGTTATTCCTTTCTCCAGGCCCTTTGCCCACATGAGACAATCGGTGAGCTTGAAGTTGTTGTGTTAAGGAGCAAAGGATCACCGCTGAAAGCGGCTTGGCCAAGAAGCAGGAGAAAGGGTCTTAGGGAAACAGCATCACTCGTCATCGTTGTCGTCGTCATCCTGGTCCTGGTAGCGAATGTAGACGACCAGCATGACAAAACCCATGAGGATGCAGAGGGAGCCAACGACCAGGTAGGCGATGCCCAGGAAAGGGTTCTTGCCACCCATCCATGAGATGTTGCTAAAGATGATGAGCTTATGGCCTCCGAAGGTGCGCACCGGGTAGTTGTAGGTGATGTTGACAATGTAGGCACCCCGGGGCAGGCCGGCCGAGTAGTTGCCCTGTCGGATGCGCGCGTACAGCTTGCGGAAGGTGGGTAGCGCGGCCGTGCGCATCCACACCACGAAGTCCTGGTTGATGAAGCCGGTGTTGTTAGGGTCCGGACTGAGCTCGTAAACCGGCCGGTGCCAGTTGGGCGGTGGCGCCGTGCCGCTGAAGGCCAGCTTCAGGCTGCCGTTCACCAGGGGCGGGTTGCGGAACTTGACGTGGTAGTCGGTCCACCAGGCGATGGCGGTGCGGTCGAGAGGCACCTCGAAGTAGGGTTCCCCGGGCCGACTCTGGTGCCACAGCGTGAAGGAGTCGTTGAAGAGGCTGTTGGCGATGGCGCCGCAGGGCGCGATGGGCAGGCCGGTGGCGCTGAGCTGGTAGGGGGCGCACTCGTTGGCGGGGTGGCGCAGCGCGCTGGCCAGGCCGCTGAGCTGCGCGTCGTCGCGGGACACTCCGTAGCGCCGGTTGTTCTGGTAGAAGTTGGACAGCTCGTAGTAGAGGTACACGGGGCCCGGGAAGAGCTCGGGCAGCGAGAAGTACCAGGAGCACGAACAGTTGGGTGGCGGCGCGCGGCCCTGGCCCTCGGCGGCGCACAGCGAGCAGTTGCCGGTGCCGGGGTTGCCGGTGTAGTCGTACTCCAGCTCCTTGATGCCGTTGGACGAGTAGAAGAGGCCCAGGCCCAGGCCGATGAAAGCCAGGCCGGCGCAGAAGAAGAGCGGCAGCGTGATGCCGGCAGAGAGCAGCGGCTGCCAGGCGGGGAGGCGCTGCTGCGTGAAGGCTGTGTTGTCCGGCTGGTGCGCGCCCCGCGCCGACGCGCTCCAGGTCATGGCTGGGTCTCAGTCCCGGGTGGGCGGCGGGGTCTCAGGCCGGGGCTCGCTCCCGCCTCCGCGCGCTCTCCCACTGGACGGCTGCTCCCCGGCCCCGCCTCCCGCCCGCGCAGGTGCGCCCGCCCCGCCTTCGGCGCAGGTGAGGTGGATCGCCAGGTGCCCGGGCGTCCGCCCAGACTCCTCAGTTCCGCCACCGCCCAGGTGACCCGAGACGGCTCCGCCCCTGTGCATGGCGCCCTTCCCAGGTGAGCAGGGCGGGCTTCCTCAACTCACCAGGCCGGCTCTGACTCCTGGGCCCTCTACGGACAGCGCTCCCCCCTCCTCAGCCCACCCCACCCCAATTCCACTGTGAGCGATGGGATCTGAGTAGCTCATAACTTTGCTCAGGTTCCTTTCTGCCTTCCACAGAGCCTGGGCCACTTTCTCCCAGTCACAAGCCTGCCTTAAACCTTAAGTTCCATCCCAGAGCTCACTCCAGGGTGGGGTTCGGTTGGCTTGATTATTTATTACCTTGTTAAGGTTGTTAATCCTCGCTATTTAAGGAAAAGCCGTAGTTGGTTTTCAGTTAGTTTTCAAGCACAAATTGTAGTGCCCTGGTTATTACATTATGGTAACTCTGTTTCAACACGGGTTCTTATTTCTCTCTCTCTATTGAAGGGACAGTCCTTTTCTAGCCAGAGGTTCCAGTCTGGCTTAATAACTATGAAAGGTGGAAAGTTCTGGAAAAGTTTGCAGCCTTTGAATGTCTTCTCCAGCTGGTGGCAGAAGGAGAGGAGAGGAAAATCAAGGAGAGGAAAAAATGCTGTGGGCTGCATGCGACTTTCTTTTCAGATTGCCTGCTTGACCAGCCTGATCCAAGGGGACCTAACTGATAGCCACAGTCAAGGTCGTTTGCCATGCTAGGCCTAAGCATGTTGACCTAGAAGGATTTATAAGCTACATAAAACTACTTAGCTCTTCGTGTCGCCTAAGATTCTGTTTTTGTTGTTTGTTTTGTTTCACTGGTTGTTAGAATACACAAGAGCCTATTTCTTGTATTCAGTTCTCCTCAGCTACTAAAGTACACTCACTTCTCCAGCTCATAAAGTGCAAAAATAACTTCAATGCCTTCTCCATCACACTTTCACACCTGTTTTACGTATTTCACTCAGTACTCATTCAAAATCCATTGAAACTTGGAAAAGTCAAAGTGCTTGCTAAAAATAGTTTTAAAAGCTGCCTTCCAAGTCTTCACCACTCTGCTGGACAGTGTAGAAGACAAAAGGAAGTTAGACCAAACTGAAGCCTTTGCAGTTCAATACGGCACTGTCCCCGGATGTTGTTGTTTGTTTTTGTTAACTTGGCACCAGCTAGAGTTATCTGAGAGGAAGGAACCACAGTTGACTCCATAAGACTGGCCTGTGGCAAACCTCTGGGGTCTTGTGTGGTTAATGGTTAACGTGGTTGTGCCACCTCTGGGCAGATAGTCTGGAATATATACAAAAAGAAAGGGAGCGAGCCCTCGGAAGCAAGGCAGTGAGCAGTGTCCCTTCCGCTTTGGTTCCCATCTCCAGGTTCCTGCCCTGCCTCCCTCTGATGGACTGTGATGTACAAGTGCATTGTGAAATAAGCCCTCCCTTCCCCAAGTTGCTGTTTGCCATGGTATTTTATCCCTGGAGTAGAAAACGAAGACAGGCACGTACTACTGAGGAGTAAGAATCAAAACAGCCAATAGCTAGTGTTAAGCTGTATGCAGGAGACTGACATTAAAACTAAAAAGCAAAATTACTTTAGCAGTGGAAGGTTGGTTTTGTTCTGTTGAGTGTACGTAGGTTGGAAGTGTTAGCTGTTGGAGAACACCGCAGAAGACCTAGCTGTCTTTAATTCTGCTTCCATCCCTTATCCCCTAAGAGAGGGCATTCCACACTCTCAACAGGTCAATAGTATGGGCTATTCTCCCTTACACTATTTTATTTTTTCTGACACAGAATAAGCAAATCTCTGTGACTTCCTGTGACTTCTTCCCACCCTTCTGTCTGATTCAGGCTGCAGGAAGGAATCCAGTTCTCATAACTTTATCTCATGGATCTTCGGTCTCCAACTGCATGGCCACCACACCCCTGCAAGCTCACTGGAGGAACTCAGGGCCCTTCCTCCACATCTCCTCCCTGGATGGCTCAAAGGCAATCCTTTACTCATTCTGCTGATCAAGGTGACAAGAACAGAAAGGGGAGAATATTTCAGGGCATAAAATGGCCAAAGAGATTGAACACAGCTGACAAGTCAAGTGAAATGGAGGATGGAAGGGAGTCATTGGCTTTGTTTCTGAGGTACCACTTCAGGGGTGGGAGAGAGGGGAAGTGGGCAGTGGGCAAAGGCAGCTCTTTAGATGTCTGTAAAGAGAGAAGAAAAGCCAGTGATAATGACCTAGAAGAACTTGGATCCTAAAGGGAAGACCTCTTTGTAGCTGACAGAAATAGCATGCTATTTTGGGGTAGGGGGAGATGATGGCCTACACAAGGTGTACTAAGGCTGTTGTAGGCTGTAGGTCCTGGGTCCAGGAAGCGAGTGCCTTGCTGGTTCTGAAACCAAAGGGTGGGAGGTAAGGACAGAGGAAGAATACAACTGTACTTTAGGCTCAGCAAGTTTTCATTTAAGAAGTCTTTGTAGCTAGAGCTGATGACACATGCTGTAGCCTCAGCATTGGAGAGGCTGGTGTAGAGTGGGCCCTGAGGCCAGGCATTCCTTTCTGTATAGGAAAAGGTGATATCAACTGCCTAGGAGAAGAAAGGGATGGCTGAAGGGGGGTTGAAGAGTTGGGTAGAGGGTGTCTGTTAGGACTACACGAAGAGATACCAGCCAGTGAATCTTGCAACTCAGGCTCAGGATAGCCCCAGTTTGAGCGGGTGATGGTGGTGGTGGTGGGTGGGTGGTGGTGGGGTGTTTATGGATAAATAGAAAAGAAAATGTTCAACATCTTATAATCCCCCATGGAGGGGCAGCCGAAGTGAATAGTCTTAGTATTTAAGAAGCACAGTAAAGAAAACCGAGCCAAGTTGGTGGTTCAGAGGAAGATGAAGGTCCAGGCCTGTGGGAAAAAACACTCTTAACAGGTTCCCCTGGGCTGGCAGTCCTAGGTGAAGTTAATGGGCCGACGGCAAGAAAGATGAGTAAGATTGCCTGTGTGAGGTGGGATATTGAAGACTAAGGGAAAGTGGTGCTGAGATCCATGTCTGCAAACTCAACCACGTTTAACTGGAAGACATTAAAGGAAAATAATTTTGTCTGTGCTGAATGTGTTCAGACATTTCTCATGTTCTTCCCTAGACAATATAGGACATTTCTAGTATTGCAAGAACTTTAGAGGTGGTTTAAAGTATTCAGCTGGCAGTATGTGTATGTTATATGCAAATACTATACCAGTTTATATTGGGTAATGAGCATCTGCAGATCTTGGCATCCTTCAGGGTTCCTGGAACCAGTGTCCCTAGGACTTGAAGGGATGGATGTCAATATGTGTCCTATTTCCTGTACCAGCTTGTGAATTCGGAGAGGCTATGTGCCCCTCAGAACTCATTGTATGACATAGGGTCTGGTCTTGGACCGTTCTTTTATTATACATTTTATTGTAATGTATTAAAAGCTGCTTGGTTCATGTGAACTCTTTAGTACCAATCATGTGAAGAAATGATTCATTCTGAATGATTCTTTATTGTATCAATCTTAAGAGAACTCAGAGGGGGAAAAAGGAATTTCATCTAAATACTCCTGAAATTATTTCATTCTTTCCTTCTCTTTTCTTGGTTTTAACCAAGTAAGCATTTAATTTTAATTGGTTGTAATTAGCATAAAGTAAAGTGTTACTCTACTTGCCAAATCACTGCCTTTTGGAATAAAATGAAATAGATCTTTTCTATGTTCCTTTGTGTTTTGTCTCCTTTACTGTCTTCTTTGCTTTTTTGATTCTATCAACCCTTTTCCAGCTTCTTTTTTCTCCATCCCTGGGGATGCAGCCCCAGGCTTGTTTGTCATTTTCCAGTAGTTCCATAATTCATAGGTCTGTCACCTTTAATTGTTCTCCTGTTGCTGAACATACAGACTTTTACTTTTTCAGCATTCCAAAGTATGTGGTAGTGAATTTTGCGTATAATTAAAAATATTTTCTAAAGTAAGAAATGGGCTTAAAATTCAAACTCTTAATATATGTACAGTAAGATTCTTTCAAATTGTCACACAATACATTTATTTTGCTACTTTAGCAAAATTTTGTCCTAAAAATCTATTTTTAACCAAGGGATATGTTTAGTCTGTGTTAATAAGCTGTCAGATACTGGGAGAGTCATATGATAATGGGAAAGAATGTTGGCCTGGCATTAAGGAAGTCCAGTTTTACTCTAAAGTGAGGAAATAACTGTGGTACTATAGTCAAGTTGCTTAATTTTTTTCTAGCCTTTTAATTGCTTACCTGTTTGAATGTATTTATCAAAATGATAGTTAATATGTATTTCTGTGAGATTTCTGTTCCTAATCATCTGTGCTGGCTAGTTTTATGTCAACTTGATACAAGCTAAAATCATCTAGGAGGAGGGAGCCTCAATTAAGAAAATACCTTCATAATATTGACCTGTAGGCAACCCTATAAGGCATTTTCTTTTTTATTATTTATTTATTTATCTTATTTTACATATTGATCCCAGTTCCCTCTCCCTCCATCCATTCCTCCCTTCCTCCCATTTTCCACCCTCTCATACCCCCCTCCCTCAACCACCCTCCCATTCAATTCCCCTCCCCACTCCACAGGGAGGGTGATGTATTAGGGCATTTTCTTAATTGGTGATTGATGGGGAAGGGTCCAGCCCATTGTAGGTAGTGCCATCCCTGTGCTGGTTGTCCTGGAGTCTATAAGGATGTAGGCTGAGCAAGCCAGTAAGCAGCACCCTCCATGGCCTCTGCATCAGCTCCAGCTTCCAGGTTCCTGCCCTCACTGCTTTTGATGAAAAACTGTTAAGTGGAATTGTAAGATAAATAAACTCTTTCCCCCACAAGTTGCTTCTGGTCATGGTGTTTCATCAGAGCAATAGGAACCCTGACTAGGACATCATCTTAAAAGGCCTCCATTACAATCACCCGTTGAATGAAAA